AAGGCATGTCTGGAAGGGCCTGGAGAGAGGGCCCCCCCTTGCATTCATATATGGCCATGCCGGCTGCTACTTGGACCCCCCGGAAGGATCTGGGGGTGAGAGTCCAGCCCCAGCGGCACCAAGGAGCAGTGCCCTGACCCTGTGCTGAGGCGCTCACTGGGTCCTGGCCACGTCTCCATCTCTGGTGGCATCACTGGGGCCCAGTTGCCCCTTCTGTTCTGCCCTGGGGGTGCCACCAGAAGTGCCCGAGCGTGCAGCTGGGGTGTCACGATGCCGCGTGGTCAGGTAATTGCACCCTGGATGCATTTCTGCCTCCCACATCCTGTGTGCCACGGGGAAGCCACTGTGTTCCCTCCCCATGAACGCTGGGAATGGGGAACTGCTCCAGGGTGTAGCCTCACCCTGTGGGATAATGACTGTTCCTGTCAGCACCCTGTGGGTGTCAGGACGAGGTGGAACACAGTGGAGAGCTGCTGGGGGCGGGGGTCCTGGCATGGCAGCACTGAAGGGGGCTCCTAGCAGAGCCTGGCATGATCCTGGGACTCCGGGAGCTGGGGATGCATGTCAAGCATCCTGTCTCCAGGCCCGTAACGACCCCATTGCACCCAGGGCCAGTCCTATTCAGTAAGGGAGCTGATCTGTACTGGGCAGCAGCACTGGTGGCTGCAGGCAGGTCCGTACGGATGGAATACGGGCCTGGATCTGAGCTGGCCCCAACCCTGTGAACTGCCCGGCACTACTCTAGCAACAGGCCTGTGCACTCTCTAGCCCATGGTGAACACACATGCCTTTGCACATGTGTGTGACCATGACCTGTACAGTCCCCATGATGTCCTCTGGGTTCTGCTGCACCATCAGGACAGTGCCCGCCAGCCCCAGTGCCCGCCTGGGCAGGCTGGGACGTTCGTGACATGGTCTCTTGCCCCCTCAGGGCCGGGATGACGAACGTTCAGCAGCAGCACACGGACCTGGAGTGCGCCGTGGAGATGCTGGTGAAGAACTTCGAGAAGTACGCGGGTGGCGGGGGCTGCTGCTGCCGGAAGCAGCCGCGCCGCATCAGCAAGAAGGACTTCCGCAAGATGCTCACCCGTGAGCTCAACCACATGCTGACGGTGAGGCTGGGCAGGAGGACCACTGTGTGCACGTGAGGACACTTGTGGCAATGCATGTGCATGCGTGTGTGACTCCAAGTGCGTGAGAAGCAGCCGGTGCTGGGCTGGCTGGGGGTGGGGGAGACCCGAAGCCTCCCTGGGTTGGGGATGGGGGTCTTGGTTTGGTCCCACCAGGCGGCACTGGACCCCAAACCCTGCCATGTTCTTGGTCCTGTGCGAACGGCTCTGTCCTGTCTCCTCAGGACACCGGGAACAAGCGCGCGGCTGACAAGCTGATCTGTGACCTAGACGAGAACAAGGATGGGCGCATCAGCTTCGAGGAGTACTGGACCCTGATTGGGGGCATTGCCAGCCCCATTGCCGGCCTCATCCGTCAGCAGG